AGTCACTTAAAATACGTCGCTAAGCACTTACGTTACGTTTGGTTTCAAATTCGCTACCAAAAATACATAAAAACCTAACCAAACTACCTAATTACAAATGGATTCATAATCACTCCTCGAATATAACTATAAGTGCCTACGTAATTTCATATTATAATAATTCTGAATCATTAATCCAGACATCAGTTTTGTCAATGGAAGTAATTTTTTTTATATATCTGAATAAAATACTCCGGAAAACAACGAGCGCCTTCAAAATTAGGTAGTGAAATATTTTTTTTTTATTTTCTAACTGGTTTAATCATAAAACTGTACTGCGGTTCTCCCCAAACACAACCTTATCAATATTATTCTACTAGAAATCGGAATGTGAATATAAATTTTAAAAACAAAAAACGATTTTAAAATGGCTGACAATCGGATAACTTTCCTTTTATTGAAAATTTAAGTCAAAATATTGCGAACGGCTACTCTTATATCGGAGGCGGTGGGAACAAGCTTTTGCTTCTGCACTTGGCTAAAAAATGATACCCACCTATACCTTACACTGCATACCAAACGGCGCCACTATTTCAAAAAGATGCTGATACTTTACAAAGGATAGTACAAACTAAAATAAGAAAATTTGTACAAGTGTATTAATTGAATGGAAACTAAAATTAGTATAGCTATTAAATATTTTGAGAAACTGGATCAACCAATGAAACAATTCAAATACCCAAAAATAAGATTTATTTCTTGTTAGAAAATATTCAGTACCTATTCTGCACAGCAGTTATATACATTAATATACAAGAATTATATTTAAGAAACTCTATTTTTAAAACTTGTTTAAAATCAATCGGCTTCGGGACATGTAAGGAGCATCCGTCGTCGACCACAGAGCATATAATTTTTCGTATTCCGGATAAACGATTCGACGACGTTGTTCGTTATTGGTCTAAGATAGGTCAATTGTTTGTTGTCAAAAAATGTTTGATGGTTGACGGTTCAACGGTTTCGTAGGTGTAACCTCACTTGCGTATCAGTGATTTGTGGATTTGTGCAACTATCTTTTCAAATATTATTCAAACAATTATAATATAAAAGAAATACTTTTAGAGACGGTCTTGTTTATATTCGAATAATAAATATTTAAATTTGACTTGACTTATTACGAAGATTCATGAACCTTTTGTTTATATATATAGTTAAGGGGAAAAAGATTAATATCTGTACCACGAAGATTGCCCTTACAGGTCAAAGATCGTAATGATATAAAAGGTTAACATAAATAGATGTTAAATCCGAATAATCAATCAATATAACATGGTTATTTTAATAATCAAATACAAGTAAAACATTACTAAAATTGTATTAATCAAATAAATATTATATATTAATCGGTTTAAAACGTTCTATGCCTTCCGATGCCATCTCTCCATGCCTGTCTGTCTCTCCATGCACCGTCTCCGAGAGATCTTTCCTCCATAAACGTGTCAATTCCTTCCTGCCAACTTCTTCTCGGTCTACCCGGTTTTCTTCTTCCTGCAGGTTTCCGGTTTATAATTTGCTTTGGGATTCTTATTTCTGCCATTCTTTGGACATGCTCGTACCATATGAGTTGACTGTTCTTTATCTCGTCCACTATCGTATGTTTAACTTCCATAATCTCTCTTATGCGTTCATTAGTTATTCGCTCGAGTCTTGATTTGCCTGCTGATCTTCTCCAAAAATCGATCTCTGTAGCTTCAAGCATTCGTTTTGTTGTTTCCTTAATTGGCTACACTTCATAAATATGTAAAAAGTAAAAATAAATATGTAAAAATTAAAAAAAAAACGATTAAAAAAAGTCGCCTTGAGTACGATTCGAACCTGCCTTGCTACGGCTCAACGCCTTCCACTCCTAACGCCTTTAACCACGCGGCCAACCGAGGACTTCAAATATTCTATGTAAAATTCTAACTTAAACGATAATGTTTAATGAAAGTACTTTTTATTAGTAAACATTTATTTAATTCTGTTTTTAGTATTTGTTCTTATAGCGGCAACATAGATACATTATCTGTAAAAATTTCAACTGTCTAGCTATAACGGTTCATAAGATAGACCTCTGTGACAGACGGACGGACGGACAGCGAAGTCTTAGTAATATAGGGTTCTCGTTTTTTACCCATTGGGTACGGAGGTCGCAAATACTACTTAATGGGTTGTATTTACGGACGTAAATAGAGATACGTAAATTAGGTTATAAATATGAACATAAAATACAACAAAATATAATTGGACGTTACTTTAGAGATTATCAATATCGAGACGTATCCTATTCGGACAATGGGTAGACGTCGGGCTAGTTCAAGTATATGTACAGGGACATCATTTTAAGCGTCTCACTCGATTTATAATTTTCCTGTTTGGTATTTAAAGATAGTAGAAAGATTTTCTAATGTAATTTTTCGCGAGGATGCCGATTCTCTACACCAAAATTTTTTAAAACGTCAATTTTGACAGATACGACGCCATCTTGATTTTTTTAAATGGAAACCCCCACATATTTTAGCATGGTCCGGTAGACATATTTTAGCTAATTTCAAATATATATAGTTTAGTATACTTTGCTCTTACCGTTTTCGATATACAGTGGATTTAAAAATGAATTGTTCCAGAATCATTTTAAGAGTCTCACCCAATTTAAAATTTCCCTCTTTTCTATTTTAAGATAGTAAAAAGTTTATTTAATGTAATTTTTCGCGAGGATGCCGATTTTCTACATTAAAATTTTTTAAAACGTCAATTTTGACAGATACGACGCCATCTTGATTTTTTTTCAAAACGAAACCCCATCAAATTTTAACACCGCCCGGTAGACATATTTTAGCTAATTTCAAAAATATATAGTTTAGTATACTATGCACTTACCGTTTTCGATATACAGTGGATTTAAAAATGAATTGTTCCAGAATCATTTTAAGTGTCTCACCCAATTTAAAACTTTCCTCTTTTCTATTTTAAGATAGTAAAAAGTTTATTTAATGTAATTTTTCGCGAGGATGCCGATTTTCTACATTAAAATTTTTTAAAACGTCAATTTTCACAGATACGACGCCATCTTGATTTTTTTTAAACCGAAACCCCATCAAATTTTAACACCGCCCAGTAGACATATTTTAGCTAATTTCAAAAATATATAGTTTAGTATACCTTGCATTTACCGTTTTCGATATACAGTGGATTTAAAAATGAATTGTTCCAGAATCATTTTAAGTGTCTCACCCAATTTAAAACTTTCCTCTTTTCTATTTTAATTATATTGTAGTTATATTTATACGAACTTTTTTACTTATTTGTATCTGCAGAATATGCTGCCGAAGTTTCCGGAATACAGTTCGGACCACCCTGTATATAAAAAAAAACTTTTTTGAAAATTTAGTTTTAAACTGCTAGTCATTTATCATAAGATAGCTCAGTTTATGTAAATTTCATGCATTTGGATACGAATGCCACTCAGTTGTAAGTGAATGGCATTCATATTCAAATACATAAAAATTAGAGGAATTCTTGATTTCAACCCCCTGTATATAGAAAACGGTAAATGCAAAGTACACTAAACTGTATATTTTAGAAATTAGATAAAATATGTCTACCAGACCAATGGGGTTTCCATTTAAAAAAAATCAAGATGGCGTCGTATCTGTCAAAATTGACATTTCAAAAAATTTTAATGTAGAAAATCGGTATCCTCGCGAAAAATTACATTAAAATATCTTTTTACTATCTTAAAATAGAAAAGAGGAAAATTTTAAATTGGGTGAGACACTTAAAATGATTCTGGAACAATTCATTTTTAAATCCACTGTATATCGAGTATGTTCAAACATATATTTTGAAATGCTTAAAATATGTCTACCAGACCATCTTAAACTATGTGGTTTCATTTAAAAAATCAGATGACGTCATGTCTGTCAAATTAGTTATAAAATTTTGGTGTTGAATCAGCATCCTCGCCCGATAGAAAATCTTTCTCTTTAAATACCAAACAGAAAATAAAATCAGTGGTACAAAATGATGTCCCTGTACGTCGTCTGAAACCAACGTGCGTCGACGTTGGAGAATTAATAAAAATGGTACGTTGTTATTTTGTACGTCGACAGATCATTGGATTTTCTCGGATCCAACGACGTCGCTTTTGTAGGAAAGCGACGTCACCGGTCGTATCACCAGCACCCGAGCACAAATTTGCACAAAGTCTGACGTCGCTTCAGGTCAGATTTAGTTCGAAGTCAGATAGATGCTGCTTGGGAGTTGTGTAAGCAAAATAAATAAAGACAATGGAAGTCCTACATTCGTTTAGTTTTAATAATTTTGTTCTATTTTATTAATTTTAGACTTAAACAAAATAAAAACACTAAATCACCACAATACACCAAAACACTTTTACTTTTACACTGGACGCGCGTTTGGCTAATCATGTTAGCATCATCAGCAGATGATTATAAACTGAAATAAGTTAAACTAAAATAAGTTTATAATCATCTGCTGATGATCTTCTTTATGTTAGCAACAGCACGTCTAATGCTAAAAAGCAAAGTATTTTAATCAAATAATATTAAATGTTTTATTGCTGATAATAACTACCAAAGGTTCCAACCCTCAACTGTAATTTAGACTAAATATTTATTATATAATCTGAATGTTAGACATGACTAAGTCATATATTATATGACTTAGTCATGCATGATTAATTTGGTACAGCCGAAGCATGTGGTACTATTAAAGAACTTTTTAGTTCTATACTCGACCGATTAGCACTATTAACTTTTGACCGATGCATTATAATTCTACCATGATTCTTTTTTTACCAAGTGAAGGGTGTCAAATAAATTGAAGAATTCAAGTTTTCTTAAATTAAAAATTATTTATGAAATAATAATGCTTGAGATAAGAATTCAATTTTCTCAACTTTTCATGGCCCAAAGATGTTTATCTTGGGTATTTTTCATGAAGCTTCTGGTTTGTATTTGTCAAACAGACCCTTTTTCGCTGAGGTCGTGCTGGATCAGTCTTAGGGCCAACTTCGGGCTAAGTTCAACCTTTGAAATAATTTCATAATTCCTCTTTGTAACAACAACAGACAGAAAGGATGGCAAAGGCGAATATCTCGAATATAATTGATGAAACTGGCAAGCCTCGAGATACTCAATCCAGGCGTAAACAGTTTGTCTTAAAATAACAGAGCTTGCTTATACGAATCTCCGTTTATCTTTTCTTATTAGTTATTAGTACTGAATTTGTGCGTTTTTTCTATAATAAGAATAATTGAGCCAGTGGAATATGATAATTCGCATTTGTGTTTACCAGGTTCTATATATAAGTTGGCCTTAATTTATTACCATCAGACAAATGAAAATATCTTTCTAATTTTTATAATAGTTTTTTTTTTATTTTTCTTAAACCTTTAGAATTATATCCATATATTTTTTTCCCTTTTCTTGGGTATGAGGTTTTTTTTATTAATTGAAAATGGAAACTTTCTTTTTTTTTATGCGACGTTTTGCTCCCACATAGTGGGCTTTCTCAGGCACCTTATTATAAAAACTTGAAGCCGCAGCCGCCTTGCTACAAATTTAGGCTATTAAAAATTGTCCCTAATTCCGTTATAATATATTTTAGACAGAAAGTTTTGATACAAAAGTTGTAGATAATCACATCCTTAATGAGATTGTGTTCTCCGTTTTTCCTAAAGCCTGTCATTTTTGACGTGTGACACAAACATATGTTTTTTTTAAATGGAAACCATAGTTGGTCATGTCTTCATGAAAACGCATTTTTTTAAGCGTTTCAGATATAAGCTATAATATGTTTTCGAAAAATATTTCCTACATACACTTTAAGGGTTATTTTGAAAATATTCAAAAATCCACCACTGTTTTGAGTAATTAAATGTATAATAACAGGTCCGGTATTACGATATCTAGGCATAGGACTTATGCATTGGAATGAAACGCTATAGAAAGTCAAGCAAACAGAGATGGACAACAACTTCCCCGTTTCCACTTCCATTACGACTGTCGAGTTAGACAAACTCCAATAAAATAACAAATTTTGATGATAACCATCCACCTGCCCTTTATCGCCATTATTTTATTTCCCTTCCCGCGCATCCGCAAAACGCCGTCACGTCAGTCCATCACAGAGTTGCCAGGTCTACCGGTTTCGTCTGTAAGCCACCGATCTACCAATTTAAACAAAAATCTAACGATATATTCAACTGCGTCTTTAGTCTAATCTGACTTTATTATTGTTTATTAAATTTTATTTAGTAATCATAGGTCATCGTTCTGTCTAGTTGCAGAGTTACAAAGATATTCCTACAAATCCTTATTACTCTTTATTAGGCGCGGTATTGGCGATATGCCCGAAGAAGTTGATATCTTTTGAAAAGATTTTGTTTCATTCATCTACTAAAGTTGAACCCATATTTTCCCCAAAAAAAATATAAACAAAAAACAAAATCTAAGTTAAGAAACAAACTGAATACGGATAAATATTTTAGTGCTTTTCCTGCCAAAAAAATATATTAATATGAAAAAAGAATTGAGAGTTGCTACAGCTTTCCCACTGAAATGAAATTAATTTTAGATATTACTGATCAAAATTTGTACAAAGGTAAAAAGTGACCGCTATCCCTACTTATTATAGTTTTTATTAATATAATATATTAATATTGTTTAATTTAATATATATCTTTTAATATTAAATAATATACCTCTTCCTCAAACCGGAGTCATCCACTCCTGGATATAGGTCTCTCCTATCCTTTTCCGTGTCTCCCTGTTTTGTGCTGTATTTAACCAATATTACCTGCCACTTCCCTAATGTCACGCAGCGACGTGCCCCTGCCCACGCGAGCCTTAGCTTATCTCCCAAGACCATACTGGGGAAATCACTGTCCCATCCCATTCTCCTATGCAAACCTCAAAATTTTCCAATCAAAAGCGTGGCCTTGAAATTGCCAAACCTCTAAATCACGAAATGTCGAACTTTAAAACAAAACTACCCCAGGCGAGCAGAACGTATGATTCAGAATCTCGCACTGAATATAATATACCTAGCTATTTCTAATTCTTGTTATATTTATTATATTTGTATTTTATTTGAGTGATCTAGTATTACGACACATAGGAAAGCTAATTTTAGACTTAAATATTATATTTTATTTTCTTTTGATTTTTGTTGAAGATCTACCGAGAATTTTGTTCTCGTATGGAATTATAATCTAACAAACCCGGCAATCCTGTTCGGCTACTCCTTTATAAAGTTTTTTCGGCCTAATTCCTTTGTCACCGCCGCCGCCGACCGACCGGTCGGTGTCGGGGCGACTGGAAGGAAGATCGTACAGTATTGCCATTTCATAGAATTGCACTTGCTATTTTAGAAATGATTTCAAAGTTCTGCATGTTACTTTTTGTTTTAGAAAGAAGTTGTTATGTGCCTAGAGAAAACATTCTTAAAATTGTTTTGTACTTTATTTAATATTTTATTAAGTAGGCAAGATAATGGGATTAGAAGATTCGGGATTTAGGATAAGCCAACATAATTTTGATTTAACAGAATGGCAACTCTGTCCTTCGTCTTTCTATTTTTTCCATTCTATTCTATTAGTAGCCGGTAGCCCCCACACAAGCGTCTTAAAGACCCGCCCCTCACGCAGAAGCTCTCTCGTCGTATCACTTCTATGATCACTTCCCAATGGTACTACAATGGTAGGGAAAAGACACTTTATCCGTCTCTGTTGTACTGCAGTGTATTTTGCAGCCTTACCATCTTTTTTTATCGCATTGAAAAGCTCCTATTGCTAATGAATTTTGCCACACGTGTATATAAATAAAATTATATATCCTGTAATAATGACAGAAAGGGCGAGTATACAAACTCTTCCCAGACATTTCCAAGTTTTCCTCGCTAAATATGCTTCATAGGTAAAAATACTAGTTAGAGGCAATAAGAAGCGAGTTGGTCCCTGTCATGGATGTGAAACCCATAACACTACTAGTTTTTGTAACCAAGACAACGAATTTGTTCGTCAAAAATTACAGTGATAGACTAATCAATTATATCACCGGTAGATATCTACCTATAGAAGAATAAATATTTAGATGATTTTAGATAGAGTTTAATCTTCTTCCAGTGGTTAAGAATATTTCTTTGGAATATTTGAAATGGAAGTTAAACATAGTTGTTCTATTATGAATGGTTTTTCACTTGAACATTGAAAGAAGTCACTAATAAATTAATTTATAAAACTAAAACATATAATTTAATAATAAAATTTAAATCATGTAACTATCAGTTTTTCGATTCATGAAAATTTTACCTAAGATTTAAGTTAAAAAAACGTGACTTTTGATTTTTGGTTGTTTCTTTCATACAGTACTATCTAAACTTACCGAGTTATATTGTGAGTCGAATAACCTTGGTGCTTGGTGAAGTATTGATGCAAACATCGTATAACCCACGCATTTGTATACGTTAGGCAATGTACAGAACTTTCTAGCTAAAGGAGCATGGCACACGTAAATATACCTTTGGACTGCGAGTACCAGTGTCAACCAAATACTTGCAGTGTGAAACAGATTGGGTATAACCTGAAACAAAAACGATTTATTTAAAAAATGATTAGAGATTTATTTAAATAAAATAGATATCGAGAGAAGTATAACGTGCATAAATTTAACTTTTTTTTCCACTAGCAACTGTTAAAATTGCTTTATATCTATCAAAAATAGTAGATAAAATAGTAGGTTAACCGCAAGGGTAAGATTAAATGATACTTTAACAGCGAGGATAGGTTAAAAACTTTATTTCTTCTCGCACGTTTTAATTGCTTCCATTTTTGAAAATGTTTGTATTCCTTTTCATCAGTTATTCGGGATTTAAATTGAAGTTGTTTGGATATGGCGTTTGTCGCCTCAGCCTGAATATCTGTTGGTAACTTACTTATTTCGTTTTGAGCCATTTCTGGCTCCAATTCAATCAGCAATCCACAAGAAAGATAATTAAAAAATATTGACTCAAAACCATAGACAAACAAATAAAAAGAGACTGACAAATCTCATGGTAAAGAGTGGGACCGCGTTCCCGTAGCGCAACTCAGAACAATTTTGAAACCAATTAGCAGGACCATGGCAGGACGTACGTCTTTATTGCTATCTTTCTTTATTATGTGCTTTATATGAAAAAGAAAGAGATAGGTATAAAACGTATCGTAAGACATTATCGCACATTCTGGCTGGCGGAAAATTTTAATTAGCCTTTATTAGTAGTATTCTTTCATTCTGAAACTGAAAATTTTCACTTAAACTGATTTATTCACTATACCACGTAAAGGGAACGTGGTGTAGGAAATAAATCAGTTTAAGTGAAAATCTGCAGTTTCTTTCAGAACGAAAGAGTACTACTATTATAAGGGAAATTATAAAAAAAAGCAAAAATTGTACTGTTTTATAAACATATTTATTTATACATAAAACTAAATAAAATTTTTATAATATAATAACAAAATATAACAGTGTTTATTCCACCCACCTACCAATTTTAAATGCGGAAGAACTGACTGTTGCAGGAAACGATCGGCCAATTTTTTTAAAGGCCATTAAAAATCTTATTTTCGAAAAAACTGCCTAATAAAATTGCAATAACAAAGTGAATATCCAAGCAAAGAAGACTTTACTAGAATCATGATCCTGAACCATTTTCAAGTCCAGTTTTAATCCTAAAACAAAAGTAAAATAGGTATATTAATAAAGTTTCTGGTTACTATAAACCAGCTATAAAACTACCCAAAAAATTAATTGTATTAATTTGTTATGTTAAGAGAGGTTCGAAATATTTTTGACACTACTACTTTTTTCTTAATAAGATGATAAATATAACTACTTACTTTTATTTTACCGGGTGTCTTTAACATATCTATCAGAGAAAGTGGGCACCAATACTTATAAAAAATAGATGATACTGGCTCCTGCAGCAGATAAAATAACAAATAGTATAACCTAAAATTATAAGTAACAAAATATAAATACCTATATGGAACAAAGGAATTTGTTCCCTATCCATATTCATAAGTCAATAAATGGTGGTTTAGAAAAAAAATTAAATTACAAAGAAAATTAACAAACACGACGAATTATCATGATGTTGTCATGATGACGAGCGATTATTCTAATTTCTATTGAGAAATTACGTTTTTATATAACTGCAGACATCGAAAATGCGGAAAATCGACTTGAACACTTCCCTCGTACAATAAGAATAATGACCCATACAGCGTCCGAATGAAATTACGTTTCTACAAAGGGCGAAACAAAATATGTTAAAAAAGCGAACCTAAGTGTTTATCTGAACACAACATATACATATGAGATACTCGCAGGTTTATATTGATAGAATTGTGTGATACAGTGATTTACTAGTTGTATACGTATGCACTCAAGATTCTAAAGAGTTTTTTGTAACGTAACAAATAATTATTAAAATGATGAAATCTGACGTCGGTATATGAGACATACAATGTATAAGTCATATGTATGTGTGATACTTCGTATCATAATTGTGCCTATAGTACACATCTTGTAAAAATGTGACATATACACATAATATAAATATTTATATAGACACTTTGTAATAGTGTATTGTTGTGTCTACATTCTAGCATGAAATGAAGGTGTGCGCACGCGCGGATAGCCTCAGCGTAGATACACCGACCAAGTGCTTTCTAGGAGTTGTATGTGTTAGCAGCCATTATTGTTTTATCATTCGGAAGCTCTATATAAATGTTCTGTTTGTGTGTAGTTTAAAAGAGATTTTAAGGTAAGCACAAGTTTTTAATTACCTTGTTACCTTAAAACCTACCTAACCTAACCTTAATATTATAGCAGCGACTCTTCCCTTACTCGATACCCAATTTACCAAATTTTGACTCCAATGAATGAAAACTCTAAATATTCTCGTATAATGATAAAGAGGTTAGCTCTGCAATATATTTTTTTTAATTTGGAAATAATAAAAATCTAAATGGACCAGAGATAGAAAGATTTAAACACTTCCCAGAACTTCTTACACTGATATTCGGTAAGTTATTGATGGATCAATATACAGATATGTTTAATATTCAATAATCAGTTTTATATAAAATTTAAGGGTGAGATTGTCAATCTGGAAATAAAATACAACAAAGTCCAACAGAGTGCTCGATGAATGAGTATGCTAACAAACCAATTGCTTGGAGAGAAAAGAGGAGAAAAAAATGACTAAACGAGGTCCACCAAATCGTGGCGATATACCAGTGTTTACCATTTTAGTATGTTGTTATACTAGGTACTTATATTTTTAATACATTTTGATATAAATTCTGTTCTTTTACAGTGTTTTCTTACTTCTGGTTTCTGCAGTGTAAATAATTATTATTATTTTGTTATTTGCGCTATTGCGTTCCATGATATAAAGAAATATAATAATTTTATTTTTTAACCACTTAATACATTTTATGGAAGAAAAATGGTACATTTAATACAAAACAAAAATGGAACAATTTTAAGGCTACTTCTCTTGAACTTACGATCGAGATACTTTTGGAACATACAAAGTTTTGTCTTTCTAATTTTCGTTCTAAAAAGATATAATTGGTATCATTGAATAAATATTTCTTAAAAAGAACGAAAAGTTAGGCATCAAAACTTGTATTATTTCCTAAATTCGTTCATAAGAAGTAGTTTTATCTAGCACAAGATATACGAAGCAAAATACATACGTATACACGCGGTAGTCACAACTGCAATGTGTAAACAGAGTTTAGACGTAATACACAAGCACTGTGTATCTACGGCACACTGTGTATCTCTTACTTTGTGTATACGTAAATGCTATACTGTGGCTACATTGTGAGGCGGACGTTTAACCTTTGTGCATACGTGTTGAACTACAATGTGTAAACGTAGCATATTTACATCGGGGGAATTGTGTCACCCTGTGTCTACATCTAATAATGTAACACATCGTAAATGTGATTTGATGTGCTGTATGGGGACATATCCATAGAAAAATAGCTTGACATAACTCAACAATAGGTTATATGAAATTCGTAACATTGACATTTTCATTGTTACATCCGTCAGTTATCAACTTTTGACTATTACCTACATTAGAAATTGTGATGTTGCCAATAATATTGCTCAACATATTCAGAACACAGTCAACATGGCAACGAATACCAAAATTGACTGCCTTGATTTCGCTGATCGATGCCTGCTTTGAAAGCGTAACGTTTTTATGTCAAAGTTACAGGAATACGGGCCTGGACTAAAATCTTGAGGTACAAATGCCTATGATTAAAATATTTCTTTTTCTTTAAATAAATATTTTATTATTTAAAGTATTTAAAGTTTTATTTTTTTATATTGTAGGTTTAGTTTAATTTCTTATAATCACAGGACCGTAATGAATAAAGCACAGTAACAACAAACAGTGTAGTCTAGACTTTTACTGTAGAGAAAAAACAGTTTGGCTAGAAAGAGTTCAAAAGTGAAAATATATTCAAGTTCCCTTTTCTTATGTCTAGAATCTCGTATTTTGTATTCTCAAAGTAGCTGTTTTATTCTACTTCACGCCAAAATAAGGGTAAGGTTTACCTCTTTTCTTTCCATTTATGGAAAATTTATTTTAGATTGTCAACAAAATCGTCGAGAAAATTGGATTACCAGAGTGAATTTTTATTTATGTAAAATTTTCGAATTTCTTATATTTTGAGGTAAATCCATTCAGAATAATGTAATACATAAACAATCATTAGAATGGTTTGTAAGACCGATACTTATCGTACAAAACATCTTTATAATAATAATTAAATAAATTATAACAATGGATTATCTAAAACTATTATTATAACAATAGATATAATCTAAAATAAATTTTCTTACTTCCGAGCATTATTTTTGAATGCGGACAAAAAACATTTAAATAAACAGCAATATATTTTATACGTCGACTTGACGAGTACGTCACCGCAAATCGCCCCGCCCACTCATTTTATTGGCCACTTGCAAATTTGTCGAATTTTTATTGATGGGACGCGTCGTCTAATATTTTACGAAAAACATCCAGAGAATATCGTTTCCCGTCTCACGGATACCGCGTAGCTACAGAACGGACAGACGTACTGTACTTGCTTTTAACAAAAAGCTAATTAATTTAATCACTACAAATTAATTATCACAAAAATTAAGTAACATCGTTACAGTATCTCAGAAACTACTGGAGATAGAGAGTCTGTTAAATGAGGAAAGAATTTCAGTTTTGTGGGGTCATAAATATGCGACTTTCACATTTTTGAAAAAGTCCATGGCTTACTAGACATTTCGAAAAGAAAAACAAATTTTGGCTATTTTAAAAGTTGTCTCTAATTCCATTATAATCTATTTTAGACAAAAAGTTTTCAGATAAAAGTTGTAGATAATCACATCTCTAATGAGTATGTGTTATCCGATTTTTTCTAACGCTTGTTATTTTTGACATATGGCACCAATATATGTTTTTTAAATGGAAACCATAGTTGGCCATGACTTCATAAAAAAGGGCCATTTTTTAAGCT